TGAAATGTTGGGATACTGAAACTCACTTTATCTGAAAGCTGGCATGTATGTCTTGTTGCAAGGTATCAAATAGACTTGGCTGCAAGGCAGTTTCCATTCAAAGCTTGTTGAATAATGCAATCAGCTCAAGTTCACTTGTATATAAATGTGGTATTCACTATCTGCATATACTTCAAATGACAACATTGATCATGTGGTTCATTTTTTGAAAATTATATTCAATGTATCTTATACAGAGAAGCTAGCAGCAGAAACATTTACCCACTTATTTTTCAGCCAGTCTTCTGAAATGTTATATTGTATGATTGATAGACCTTACATGGATTACATGGAGACATCAAGTTTAAAGTAGCAAATAGCATTTTCTCAAAGCAGTATCATAATTCATAGTCCATTATATGATACAGTACAGAATGGAGCGGAACCTAGTGAAGGAAAGCTATACAATGTAATTATCATTATTCCAAATGTTTCTGTCATTTTTAATAAAGAAAACCACAGAGACTTACAAAAATCATTTCATGATTTAATGATACCAGAAAATCACAAATTGAGCTCATATAAATTGCTGTACTGCTTTCATTTAGCTTTGAAACTCTGAATCTCTGATAAACAAATTTTCAAATAAAACAGTCAAAATGAAAATTATATTCATAAATATGTACAAGAACATAGTTATATTTGCTATACCGCTAATGTCAGTTATGCAAAAATTAGAATTACTATCACAGACAAATGAGAATTATTGTAACAGACAAATGAGGTTGTTAGGAAGACCTATTAAATATAAGAGAATTGTTAAAGATCCACTTGTTGAAGATTCTGTAGAAGTTTGAAGTATTCTCAAGGATAATTTCTTGCTTTCCCTAAAAGGAGGTTTTCTCCTCTGTGTTTGTAGTCACTAAACCTAATTCGATTTCTATTCTAAGAGTGGAAACTAGTTACACCCTAGAGCCAGTGCTATACTTAAGGCACACAATCAGTGACATCATCAGAGGAGAAGGTGCTCAGTTTTCCCACTGAGTTCAGAGAGTCTGAAAATCTGTTTCTGAAAAGGCATTTTCTCTGTCATAGTAGATAAAGTGGGCACTGAGCTTCAGAACAGCTTTGAACATTTTGGGCTGAAGAGTAAGTCTTTTCCTGTCAAAAGTTATAATCTTTCCCATTGTATTAATGATTCGTTCCCTTTCTGTGTAACGTTACACTTTTAGAGATCAAACCACATCTGAGCTTACTGAACAACCAGAAGTGAAAAACAGTGTTTCAGTCATGGTACTTGACCTGGAATTAAGTTGTAGGGGGATATATCTAGGAAGGATGGGAGTAGGGGTAGCACATTCACTTATGTTCACTCCATTATTTATCAGCCAGGGTTAAGACATGCCCTAGCTATAAAAACAGGACCAAAAAAAAAAAATAGACATAGGTTTAAATGCATATTATTCATACCATACATATTTTATTACTTCAATCAATTCAATCTTCTGAATCTGCTATGGAAAGTAAATTGGTGTATTATAATTGCACTGTGACCAGGTAAAGAATACTGGGAATGAGACGCAGTATTATTTTTCAATGGGAAAGTCCTGCAATGACTTGTCATTTTAGGTAAGGAGGAAATTCCTACAAAGAGTAAACAAGAAAGGACTAAACTTCTCTGAAGTTTAGTGCTTTCTATTCTTGATTGAAAATCCTTCCTATCTTTCATTTCCATGATCTCTTTTCCCTCCACACAACTTTTGGTGTAACTGATTCCAGCTGCCATTTTTCACAGTGACTGTTAGGGAAAAGAAACAGAAAGTCATAGAAAACACAATGTGGAGACACATACAACCCACCTTGAAGCAGCCTAGAAAAGGTTAATGACAATTTTATTGACAATCCTTGATATGACAAAGACAATTAGAAACAACTGCTGCAGCAGACTATATGAGGAGCAGTCTCAGGAGGAGCTGTTGAGATTTTAAGCTATGATGAAAAAGTCCTATAAAATGAAAATAGTCTGCTAAGTTAAGGAAGAAAATCCACAGAATTCTTGAAAGATAAGAGGTGGAAATATAATCCTGACACTTATTTTGACCTCTATGACAAGACACCTGAAGAAGAGTAAAGCCTTTGTTTTTAACTCCAAGAGATGTAGAAAGGATCTGGGGATAAAGACTGAAGCTGACAGATAGCTATCTTGCATTGTGAAAATCCTAACTAATTCTGTTATCTGAAAGAGAAAGGTCTGTTCCTCAGACAAATGGAAAGATCACATTTATATATTGGAAAGGCTGTTATATAGATGAGATGGCTGTAGCTCACTGCCATGTAGAAGCTGGGAGCAGATCAATCATTAAAACTCCTATTGAGATTGCTGGCAAACATGTCCATATATTCAAAGAGAATAAGGTACTGACAAATATTTACTATCTTGTAATTACACATTTTATCCAAAATTTTATTCAGACAGACAAGACTGAGAATTTATTGCTGACTTATAGGATACTATTTTACCTGTTATCACAAAAAAATGCAGTGGATTAATATAATAATTTCTGACTTCAAATATTGTTTAGTGGCTATGTATACAAATTTAAAATGTTTACTCCAAAGTCAAAACTAAAACCTAGTGTCCTGTGCTGACTCTTGTTTAGCTTGAAAGTGCATCTTTGGCATCTGGTCTTAATTTCTAATGTACAGAATATTTTATATTAACTTGCAAAGCATTTTACAGGACAGTGATTTGAAGTGTTTGGCAAACATTTCATAAGAATCTATTGTGAATGCAGAAATCTTAAAATGAATAGATGCAATCTGCAAAGCTCTCAAACCAACTGTTGTAGCCATAAGTTACTGCAAATTTTTTAGATAAGTTTCCTGAAGTGCCTGGTGCTTTTCTGAAATATTTTAAATTAAACTAAAATTCAAATGAAATGTTTTAAGATACATAACCCTGAAACAGCAGACAGTGTTTTTCAACCTGAAGCATTGAAGTGTTATAAATTAATCTTTAGCAGCAGGATACATGAAAATATATTTCTTCTCATAAAATCTTATGCCCAGACACAATTATCCATGAATTAGTTCTCCACTATGTATTGCATCCCTCTGGAAGCATGCCAATAGAAAAGTTTATTTGTATTCTTATTCTGACCGTCAATGTGCTTGCAACTTCTAATTTCCAATTTTTTATCATGAAAATAATGATAAATACAGCATTGAGTAATACCAGAATTAGGCAATCCAAAATACAGCAGGGACTTTTGACTTCTTGCTTAATCTGATAAACTTTCTGGATCATGAAGGGAAAGGGAGAGTTTAGTTTGGTTTAGTTTGGTTTTGTTTGTTGTTGTTTGGTGGTTTTTTTTGGTTTTTTTCCTGCAAAAGGCTACAATGGATCTATGTTTCTACTTTGATAATTGAGCATTGTTTGTTAATCCCTGATTTTGGCCTTTCCTATCACGTGGACATATCACTTTGTAGTGATACCACACAACTCTAAAGAATTAAAAACCCCAACAAAACAGTTAGTTAAATATACTGAAGTGTATAGTATATAAAATGTCTTTATTTTTCAATTTAATGGTACCTATGAATACTTTTTTCTTTGATCTTTCATGGTAGCCACTTAACGTTAGTTCTGTTATTTTTTAGGAACTAAAGTTAATCTAACCAATCTATGATCTCAGAAACCTTTCTAAAGGATGTTACTGGAGTTGCACAGGCTTCAGGTCTCTGGCATCTCACCTGTCCTACCAGAGCTCCGAGGGAACTCCTGAAGCTTTGACAGGTTAAGCCAATTCTCAGGGAGACCTGCAGAAAATTTTCTTAATCTAGACTGCTTTGAAAAATTCTAATCTAAACTTAAATTCATATGCATGTATTGATAGTGTTATTGTCTGATACTCCAACACAGAAAGATGATATGAGTCAAAAAATCTTACACTCATTAACTCAGTCAGTTTTCAGTCCCTGCCAATAATCAGA